TTTCACAACTGGTATATGTAAATGGTAAAAGTATATAACATGAATACTGTTAGTACAGTATGAAGAGAAATAAGCCAGCAGTTCGCGTAGTTGTGGCTGTAGACGGTCCAGTTCAAGTGACGTGCACAGTCAATACTCACCGTCTGATGTCGCACAAGACACTTTCCTGTAGTGTGTGCAGCAGTCCGTTCGAAAGATGTCGGCACAGCTGGAGTTGACAACGTGAAAGGCACACGCTGTCGTCTGGTGGTTGAAGTCGGCGGCAAAGCACCTGTAGGGGGTGACCAAAAAAGGGGTAAATTTGGGTTTATACATTTGGCGTGTTATCCGCAATAAACGAGAAAAGCTGATCATGAGGGTTGATTTTTTTCTCCTTTTTATGTGTTTTAACTTAAAATGATCTTACCGCCCAGGGGAACATAAAAACTAAAAGCAAGCAGCAGTAGGTATATATGTTGGGTAGGTGTAGAAGCCAGTGACACACTATTCATGATGACAACAAGATCGGATCTACAAGTACGGGAATACATTTTGTTAGATTTTTTTTTTCGGCATGTACTTACGAGTCACTTTGGCGGCAGGCAAACAGGCACAAGTATTCCGTGTTCAGACTGGTGTTTTGTCTGATAGCTCCTGGTGCAGCAGAGCCGACGTATGTGGTAAAATCGGATACTGAAAAAAAAATCATAACTGACGTTGTCGATGGCGAAATCGGGAGGAAGAGGGGGGTGAAGGGGGCAGAGGGGGATAAGCGTCTCTCTTGGCTGTTGAGATTTCAACTTCCTCTCCTACTCCTCCCTTCGTTAATAAATTACTACAGGTGTTTTTCTATCGTAAACTAAATATTAGTACGCTCTATCAGAGTTCAGCTGAGCGAAGACGTCAATTATATGCGAAAAAAAAAGAAAAAATATGGATAGAAGAAGCCTGAGAAATATCTGTGAATATATATAAAAGAAATCCATTTGTGGTCCCAACAGAGGACAACATACATGCATAATTCATGTAGTTAAAATTCCATTGTCTACTGTTTTAAAGTTGCCGGTTGAGTCGAAAAAATGTCATTGAATTGTCTTGAATTGAATTTTCTTTGAAATATGAAACCTATATTTTTTGAGTTTGTGACCAGAAAAACATTTTACTGAATGAGATTAAAAGAGGCATGACCAATCAATAAGGCTCACTCTCATGAGAGTAGGCGATGTTTTCTTTATTTGGTAAATCATCATCATTTCTTTAATATTTAACTTACCTCTTCTATAAACAAAATATCGAACCGCCAAACAACTGTACTTACCCAGCACTGAACAACAACTAGCGTATAGCTTACCTGAGCGGTGGATCAATCCAAGATGGAAAATAAGAAAAATAATCTCTTGCCATTTTGGCGTCTTCAGCAAAGTAATTTTACCTGACATAATGAAACACAAGATGGGACGAACTGTCAAAAATCTGACGCACTGGAACATAGATGAGAAATTCAATTTAGGTACAACATGCCCTGGCTTTTTTTACTTTACAAAATGGAAATGAAAAGGCGAACGAACAAGGAATAACAACTTTTTTCTTTATAGTTTTACTGGCAAACAAGATGAAAAAACTTGTCAGATTTGTAATCCATAGAGCTACAATTTCTTTTTTTTTTTTAATGTTTACTCAAAAACACTGATAGATCTATCAACTAGACTTAAAAATACAAACAACAATTAAAAATATATGATATCTGAGTGCTAAGTTTGCCTAGCGACGACAAAAGCGAGAAAAAGACAACAAATCAACCCATGTAACCCCTACATTCTAGAATAAACCTGGAAGAAACATATATACCAAATACCACTAATAATATTCTATTAAACAAAAACCTGCGATTAGGCATGAAGAAAATTCGACAGAAGAAGAAAAACAAAATAAAGAAACGAACAAATAAATGATTAAACCCTGCTCACCTCTAGTTTAGCTCTCTTCCGTTGCATTCGAACAATTCGTTGCGATTAATTGAGTGAGCTCCATTTATCTAACCACATCTGAGAAGACACAGGAATAGACAATGTCCTTAACCATACTTTTATTTATTTGCCCAGCAGCACAATTGAAATTCAAATTGTATTTGGCAGTGTATATATAAGTACATATCTCACCCCCAGGCGAAGTAAATCGGCTGGAACAATTTCATGTGATGAACCCGCAAGTTTTCTTGACTTCCTTTATTTTTATCACCGAGGTCATTGCTGCAGTGTTGACATCGTACACACGCGCAGTGATTGAATATATAACCACGTGAGAAATGCGCACGTGTGTTCCTAAACACAAAACTGTGACAAACAACTTTGAATGGGAGATGCTCCGTATATCCACAAACTGTCGTCAATAATTTAATATATGCTATTCAACAAACAAACTTGGTTTTAATGAATGAGAGTTTCATTGATGTCGTTTATTCAGGCAAGCCCGCGTTTCTGTGAATGTTACCGTTAATTAACATAAAAGTGGCCGCAGAAGAAAAGATAGTTTAAAAAAAACTGTCAACTGTTATGTATATTAGAGGTTAGGGTCTGGTCTGAGCTTCAGAACTGACGCAAGACAGGTTGTTCATTATTGAAAACTTCTTGATTGAACTACAGCGGCGTTTAATTGAAGTTCACTGCGCTTGTCATTGTAAACATTTGCAGATAACTCTGTTGAAAGGAAAAGGTATGCTTTCGTGGGTAGTCAAATTAATAATAAGTGAAGAAAATGTACATGAGAAAAAGTTGTAAAATAGTTGAAAAAAAAAACTGTAGCTGCATATCTGTTTATCACTCCCATATACAATCTTCATCTGTCTACCTTCTAAATGTTTGACTTTAAAATATACACGTAGGCTACTAGGGGCACTCGCCCTTTAAATGTACAGGTAGGTTTTCCGTTATTCAAGTAAAAAATAACAATGAAATATTTTGAATCGTCAAGTATGACTTGTTGATCTCTTGGTTTATTTTTGGCTATAGGCTACTGGGGTAGCTTTACAAATCGATCATCAAATTAATTCCTCTGCACTTGCAGCGAAATGCATGAGGCTTGGCTTGGAGGGTCTCACTAGACATTCACAAATATGCCAACTAGCTAATTCTGTATGCAATTTACTACTACAATTTATGTTTGGCACCGTGAATTAGATCACGGATAGATAGATCTAGATGGGCCTATACTTCCATGATTAGATCCTCACTAGGGACTCTGTTCTATTTTACAAGAGTGTACATCAAACAAGTGCATAACCCATAAATAAGAGAAATTCATGCCAGAAATGCATAGAACTCGCGCCAAAGATAAAAATCGCTGGAAAAGCCATCAATTCGAACGTTTCACACACCTGCATAGGCGTAAATTATTAATGTTTTAGTGCGTGAAAGTCCGCCTTGGCAATGTATATTCTTCTGTCACATATATTGAAATGAAAAATTAAATTTTAAGGGGTCACTATTTGTTAATACAAGTAAGGGTCATGAGCTGCCTGTGTGGTGCGTGTTGGACGGAATTTTTTCTTCCAACAATGTTGGACAAAAAAAGGTCCAAATTCGACCGCATTTTGATCAAGTTCTACACAAAATACCTTATTTTAAACAGAGAGGTCTGCAAAATGCTGATCGAACAGAGATAGGGCCTGTACATAAGTTGAATTTAGGTCATACAATAATTAGCGTCATGGCAATCTTAATTACTTTACCCTAGCTGGATCTTTCTTTTTAGTGTTAGGCCTATACTAAAGTTATTAATTTATCCTTGATCACAAAAATTATATATTTCATCAAATACTGTATACGCTACATGTATTACACGGTATTACATCCATAGATAGTGAATTTCGAGCGTGTCGAAAGAAAAAAAAAGACATAAAAAGAAAACGTTTCTTTATTTGGTCGACGTTAATTTAACGCATGGAAGAACTTGGAAGGCTCAACGCCTCGTGATTGGCTATATATTAACCCATTACAGTGACGTCATATTTGCTCCGTAACACTAGTCCAGCAGCCATACTGGAGGGAAAGAACGACGGGGATTAGTAGCGTAAATATAGGTAAATCAAATAAAATAAACTAAAATGCATATCGCGATCAAGTACACCAAAAGGAAGAGTGTATATACATGTGAAAACTACAGCTGATCAGCGGGATCGACCCATATAAACTCAGGACAGTCCAAAGACAAGAAATCCTGACTTATCCCAACATCGTGGAATTGTATGGAACGCCATTCACGCAAAAAATGCAGACGTCAATTCAACAATCTATCGGCACTATTTAACAACCAAAACCTACTTTAACTATCTAAACTTAATTCTACTAAATTAGTTTTGGTCATTTTAATCATTCGTCAAAATCTAACAATCAATAAACGATTCAAAAGTCAATAACCGCAACTCAACAATCAGTCACCGCAACTCAACAATCAGTTATCGCAACTCAACAATCAGTTACAGCAACTCATTAATCAGTTACTGCAAACGGTCATTCGCGGACTTAACACCAGATGGCGCACGCGCACCGTCAGCGATCTGAAACGTCCTTGACCTTTTCCATCGTTTTAACAGTATTAAAATACGTGGTGCCTCGATTTGAAACCATTCAGCTTAAATTGTGTTTTTAATCTCCAAATACTTAAAAAAAATCAATAAAGCTAATCGACAAGAACCTATTATATCGTATCTTTTATATTAATTATAATATAATACACAATACACAATAATAAACGAGTCGCCTTTTGATGAACGCCCGGCTATAACCTCTATTAAAAAATATCAATTTTTATGAGATTCGTATTGTTTGGTTCCATTGCCTCGCTTTCAAAAATTAAAACAGGCGCTCCAAAATCGTAAGACGAAGTTAAAATTTTTATATTGGCCAAGTTCGCCCCCNTGAGCATACGTTAAGAAAAATGATTTCTCTCAAGTTAAATTTCTTCGTTATTTGAACAATTTCTTTAGGAGAAGATTAATTGGTGTTTTTTCCACTTCCAGTCACCAGAGAGCATTTGTTATGGAAGTCATGGGAAGACATTGTGGGTAAGAATTCCTTTTGATGGTATTATATTTTAACTTTTTTATCAATTGATACACACTTTCAGCCATTTGAAATGTTCACATCGGTATTAATTGCTACTGTAACAATTGTTTATAATATTATTTTTACCAGGATTGGGGTACAGGCCATCCAAATTTATTACCTTTTATTTCCTACAAAACTTCAGTGAGTCCAAGCCATCATTTTTGCAAAAAATGAAAAAAGAAAATATTGGTCTTCCGGTGATGCTGGTGGCCATCCAAGTGATTACTGGACGCTCCACTGGGAAAAGCCTCGAATTATAATTATTATTATTATGTACATAATACAATTATATTACAAACCATATTTGCAGGTACTTGGCACTGGTAGCTGCCTTGGCCAGTGGAGCCAGCTGGGTGTTCATTCCTGAGGCTCCACCAGAGGAAAACTGGGAAGATAAATTCTGCGACTTCTTGGCACAGGAGAGACAGCTGGGCCGCAGGCTGAATATTATCATAGTGGCTGAGGGGGCCATAGATGTCAATGGTAGTCCTATTACAGCTACTGGGGTGCAGCAAGTAGGTGTCCAGTTGGGTGGTTATATATATATATATATATATATATATATATATATATAGACAGCAAGTCCACAACATCACTGCCATAGTTCCTTAAATTTTAGTGCCGATGATATCTCTGATTTATCGCATTATTTTTATAATCTTCATGTAGCAGGTTGGCCAGTTCCTTATCGAGAAAAACATTTATTCCTTTGACAGGTGGCAGAATTCAGTGCTGTAAGTAGTAAAATTATGTTTTACTTTCAGCTGATCACCAGTAGGCTGAAGTTTGACACCAGGGTCACTGTTCTTGGTCATGTACAGAGAGGAGGGAGCCCTTCTGCTTTTGACAGAATTTTGGTGAGTTATTGTATTTTTATTATAATTGTAATTATTATTATTATCATTATTAATAAACTCAAAAGGGTGTCCCACTTTTGCCTAAAATTACCAGACAGTTAAACGCTGCATGGTTAAGATGTAATTTAGATACCATTTTGTACTCATGACCTCTTTGAAGATGAAGTTTTATGTTTTTATGAATTATTGCTATATGTGGATGTATCTTTATATAGAAGTACATCTGTATCTCTCTCTCTTTCTCTCTCTCTCACACACACACACACACACACATATTAAATGTAATACCTAACACCTGTGTCCTTTTTCCTAGAGTACCAGAATGGGTGCTGAGGCAGTTCTGGCCCTGATGGAGGCCACTCCTGAGACTCCAGCCTGTGTGGTCTCCCTTGATGGCAATCAGACCGTGAGAGTACCACTGATGCAGTGTGTGGAGAGGGTGAGTAATTGGGCAATTTAATTTTTTTTTTTGGTTATTTGGGGTTGGGGTGGGGGGTTGTATTTTTTCTTTCTTTAATTTTCAAAATCTATTGTTATTTATTGTGAGTGCTACTGTTGGGTAATCATTTTGAAGTGTTCTAAACATCAGCTATCTGTGAAGTGCATGATAAAGATTATAAAAAATTTGAAGTTCTTGGGTGGTAAATAGTGGATTGTATTGCCTTACAGACCCAGATGGTGCAAAAAGCCATGAATGCGAAGAAGTTTGATCTGGCTCAGCGATTGCGTGGAAGGTAAAACGTTTCTTACAGCCCCAAATCAAAGAAAATATGGTCATAATATTGTCACGTTAGGAAAGTACTAGTACAGGAAGAATGTGGGAATATCTGAGAAAATCAAATAAAAAAAAAGGAATCTGAATCAAATTAATCTTCTAATAATGACAACTTTAAGAAATATATGAATTTTTTGTAGCTTCTGCCAGTTACTTTTCTCTATAAAGATATTGGTTAAGAAGTTCTTAAATGTAGAGAGAAAAATAAAAAGAGAAACAAAGTGCAATATCATACATTTCATCTTACAGGAGCTTCCAAAGTAACCTATTTACGTACAAAAGTCTGAGGAAACTTCGCCCGCCTCCAGCTTCAGCCTGCAATCCTGAAGGAACTTGTCAGGTAGGTAGAACTTTGGAATACTCTGTCTGAACAAATCTCTATCCTTGGGTCTTCATTCCTAGCCTTCATCTCTGAGATGGTTTTCTTGAGTTAGGTCTACCTTTGTCATGTAACTGCATTTAGTCGGAGAGCAACCAGGCTTGCAGCCAGGGAGGTTGGAACAAAGAGCCATTTTTGCTAGGGAAGAAGTTTGTTCTGGGTAAAATTTATCTGAGTACACATAGATTTTATGGTGAAAAGCCACCCCCCCTCATTTACTCTATAGCCTATTTACTCATTTGACATCCTAAAAAAGTAATAAACAAAATACTGGAAAAAGTAAAAAGTACCAGACACAGTTATGTAGATTTTAGAGAGGGTTGTTTGCATCTACTCTCCAACTGAATGCTGTTGCTGCTAGCTAGCCATCCATAAATGTCTCATGCAAGGCTTTTCACAGGATTTTGGGGACACAGAGTCCAAAGCAAGATTTAATGATTTAATGTTTGGCAAGGTGTAATTTTACCTGCCAAACAGAGGCAGGGTTGAAGTGGATGTCAAAGGACATTTATTTATTTATTTATTTATTTATTTATTTATTGGTGTGAGCAGTAGTAGGAAATGGTGTAACTGTGTATTTTGATATTTTTTCTTGTATCCTGTGTTTTTTACTTAAACTTGCATACATCTGTCTTATGACCTATACTAATACAGCTGTATCTTGTGAGACTGATATATTTCAGCATTGTGGATTGTTGATTTGTTAATTTCTTTGTAGCAGCATAGTACATTTTGTGTGTTTTTCACTGTTTGGACCCAGAGGAGGTGGTTGCCACTTGGTGGCTGTTTTGTAATGGGTGCTGACATCTTTTCCATTTACTCCTTAGGCCAGACTGAATTGATATGTTTGCTATAAAGCTTGGATTCTGTAAACAGATTTGGGAGGATTTAAATAAAAAATTAATGTTTTTTTACCATCCTAACAGCCAAAAATTAGGGTTTTCTACTTTTCTTTTATTAAAATTTTAAAGGAGGAGTTTTAAAGTCAGTTAACAATTTGTCACACATACCAAACCAATTTCCAAGTAAGCAGTTAACTCATTTTTTCATTTGAAAAATAAGGATGTGAAAAAAAATTGCAATTTCCTCAAAAATAGTGTTGGTCATGCTCATTATCCAATTCATCAAATTTGTCTGGCCTTACTGTAATTTATAGTAACTTTTTTTTTCAATTTTATTATTTTAATTATTATATTTGTGAACTTAGCCTCTCCTGGATAAGGAACTTCAATTTGATGAGTCAGAGTTTGAGATGGTTTGTAGTAAGATTAATGGCAGGATCCTTCTGTTTTCTCTCTTATTTCACAACTCTTATGACTTTTATTATACTGCAAATCATCCATGAAGTTTAGGTTCTTCTTATTTGAAATCCTGTTACCGGGAAGCAGTCACTGATTTTTACCCATGCTATTATCATGTTATGTTGCAAACAAAATATATTAATCAGGATTCCAAAAAGGAAGAATCTAAACATCAGAAATGATTTTCAGTATAACTCTTAACTGACCTATTGAAGTTATTTTCTCATTCAATAATTGTGTTTTTCCTTCAGTATCAATTTGTTTGGTTTGTTTTTGTTTGATTGAGCCTCAAGTTTGAAATTGTTGAAGTGTGAGAGAAAACATGGAAGATCCTTGAAGTTTAAATACCTTTCTTCTTCATAGCTATATGCTGTACTGCAACCAGGCAGCAGTGATATGCTGCAAGCACTTCTCCAGCTTCCTTTTTGTGTTTTATTGTTTCTCTTTAAGTTGCTAGACTCTATGTATATATGGCACAGTATGGTTACATATCTGAATGTCTGTATATATAAGTATTAAATCTCAGTGGTGCTTCAATTTTGTTTCATAAATCAGGCTTGCAAACTCTATTGATTGCCTTAGTTTCCCTGCATAAAGTAGTCTTCTCTCTATACCTGGGCATTGTGTTCACAAAACAGAGATTGGTCTAAACTTTCACATCACAGCAAAAGCATGGTCTACCAGAGTTCAAAAATATAACCAGGTTTTAATTTATTTTGTGTTTGTGTCTCATCTTAAAATGGTTAAAAAAATTAATTAGTGTCTTTAGAACAATTTTTTTTACTAATCTCAAACTGTGCAGCATGCTATTAGCTAAAATCTAGGGAGAGGGTACTTATTATAAATTATAATGAATAAAAGTATGCAATAAAGCTAAGTTGTAATAATAAAAATCATGTTATTGCGGTGGGGGTTTTATTTTTGTTACGGTACTGATTTCTTATTCGTTACCCACAGTTATGAAGACACAAATGAACATGCTTTGATGTACAAATGTATGATTTATGTTATTGACTGCAGTTAATAGATCCAGAATGATGTGATTTTCAGCTGGTGGGCACATATTTTAGTACATGCTGATGAGTTATTTTTGTGGGGTAATGGGTGTAGTATAGGCTTGTAACCACTTACATATAGGTATATAATATCATCCACTATGTAACACCCCATTTCCAAAGATTAGGTCGACCTACTTTAGATCGACCTAACTCCCTGGGGGTTCACGCTAAATAGCTGTCAGCCGGGCGGACACGGAAGTTAATTACCCTCTTACAGCTTGTAGTAGGCGGGACGGACATTTAAGTCGGATTATCTGAAAGTAATCTAGTGAGACTCCCCGCGGGGATAGATCGATCTAAAATCTATGGGAATAGAGCCTAAGACTAACACAATTGTTTTGGGAGATGGTGTTTTAGATAAAAGAAATCGAGACTCCATGTAGTGTTTGGAATTTCATTAGAATTCATTATTTTTGTCATTTGATTAAATTTAGATGCTACTGGTTGTTCAATAAAACAATTACATGAACAGTGGGAAATTTCAGCCACTCTTAATCCTTAACTTTTATTTGATTATTTAGTGATAAATCATTTAGTGTGAGTGAAGTATTTTGGTCATAAAGAATGTTATTATAAAACTTATGTTTATATTCTTTCTAGCAGCATTTAACCCTCGCACAACACTGCCTTCTATATTGACATCATTTATATGTTAGCATGTGTGTTGTGAAAATTTTGGTTAACTGCTGTTACAGTAGTTGAAATTAATGTCAATAGTTATGTTATGATAACCTAAGATTCATGCGTATATGTTAATAATATTTATATTTGTGTATTCCAGTTACAAAAAAAGTCTTCTCAGCCTTTTTGTCTTGAGTCTTTTTTTCACTGGCAAAATTGTCTGTCTGCATGAATGATGTTTTGCAGTATATGTACCAGCACATTGATTTATAATTTAAGGCTAATAATGAATGTTAGGCCTTCAGCACTGAGTTATACTGTGTGTGTGTGTCTGTGTGTGTGCTGACATATTATAGTTACTATCTATAAGCCAGTGATTGAGTTTTGTTATGAGTTTAATTGTAGCAGTAATACTTAAGAGCTTAAAATCAGTAACTTTATCGAACATAATTTCTTATTCACTCAAATTTCCCAAAATTTGTGTTATAATTTAACTTTTTTTAGGTGGGTGGGGGTGGGGGACAAGGAAGTATATAAAGATCCAGTGCACATTGTATGCTTTAAATGGAAATCACATGTCAATTAAAACGTAACTTAAAACATCCTCATCTCGTTTTCTCACAGAAACCATTCAACCTGGCAGTGATGAACATTGGTGCCCCTGCAGCAGGGATGAATGCCTGTATGAGGGCCTTTGTTAGGATAGCCCAGACAGCTGGCTACACTGTGCTGGGTATTATAGATGGCTTTGAAGGCCTTTGTGAGGATAATGTAAGTATATATGAGCAGGCAGGTGGTGGGTATGCTTGTTCATGCCCTTCACGTCCATACACGCACACACATGCAAGCACACAAACTCCTAGATGAGCCACTTGTTCTGATTAAATTCTGACAATGTCATTGGAAAATTTGGACTTGCTCTTTGTAATATTAAATGTGCTGTGATGTATCAGAAAAAATAAAATGAAACTATGGGGAAAATAACTAATGAATAACATAGAGGTAAACATTTACCTGTCGATTTTAATTAAGTAACTTTAGTTGTGACCACTTTGTTCCATGTGTTTTCATTGAATTATTTGAAAAGAAGCTTGAATTTTTCATTGAAATGTTCTGTTAAATTTTGTGACCATAATGTACAATAATAATCAATGTTGTCAGGTGCGCCCCATAAGCTGGATGGAGGTCCACAACTGGGTGGGGCAAGGAGGCTCTAATATTGGCACCAAGAGGTCAGTATAATATCTTTACCTAACACAGGACTCAACATTTTCTTTTTTCACTGGGTTGTTACTGAATGCAATGAGGCCTGGTCCAGTAACTTGAAAGCATCGTGCATTGCGAATAGTGATATCACATAGAGGCTACAATGTATTATATGGGGCGAGTATGGGCGAGTTACGAAATCGGGAGGCTTGCGCTCGGTCGCAATGTGCGATGCTTTCGAGTTATGGGGCCCTGGTGGTTTGGTTGCTGTTCCAGATTTAAAAAAAATTCCATACAAAAGGTTATGCCTGCTTTACTACATTTTTTAAACAAAAAGAAATTACAGAAAACTAATAGTATATATAAATATGTTATTGCTATCTTATAATCAACACTAACAACTACTGAACACTGTGTTTGCCAAGAGGAGTCAATGCCATAAAACACAATGTTAAATATTCAAAATAGAATGAGTTGCATTGTTGGACAACCGCTGGTCAAGATTTGATTGCCTTAGATGAAAAAATGGTTGCAAAATGCAACCACTCAACCCTGTATGTCAAGTCCTGTAACAAATAGACATGTTTGCATTTCAAATAGTTCTATAATTTGATATTTAAATATTACCTTCATGATGCTTTAGGAAATTGCAGTCACCAGAAATGTGCAGGTGAAAAGATGACAAAGTTAATAATTAATGTTACTTTCTTGTTTTTTGATATAATACTTTCATATCTGATCATATCTGTGCTCTTGCTTCTTTGTAGGGTGAATGTAGGGAAATGTTTCATATCTTTTTTTAAATTGCATTTTGCAAATTGAGTGTTTTCTCTATTAAGTCCTCTTGTCTGATATTGTTAATTAATATCATAATGATACCATTTTATCAGATATGTTTTTCCCAATTATTCATTAGAATACCACCTGGGGCATTGTTGATTGTTATGTCATGATTCTTGATGAAGATTGGTGCTAGCTCAGTGATGTTGAAAACATAAGAACTGTAAGAGGGCATGAAACACATGTTCAATATCTATGCATTTTGTTAATTTTTAGGATTCTTGCCAGTGAGAAAGGTTATGAAGATGTTGCCAACAAACTTAAACAGCATAATGTCCATGGTCTGTTAGTGATTGGAGGGTTTGAGGTAACAAAGCTTTTTATCTGTCCACCAATCAGTCTTTATTTGAATATAATGTTTTTGATATTTATTAAAAATTTTATGTTAAACACCCATGATTACACAGTGCCCCAAATCTTGTGGCTACAAGCCTATACTTTCTCTTTCTGATAAAGTGCAACTTTTTATTATAATACTGATAGTAATGTAATTCTTGAAGTTTTCTATTTTTGTTAAACATTTGGAAGATTATAACATTCTTGAAATTTCATGTTACATGTTTGTATGGCTTATTGAACATCACTGAATTTTGCATCAAATTCTAGGCATTTCACAGTGTGTTAAAGATGGCAGAAATGCGGGAGAAATTCGATGGATTCTGTATCCCAATGATGGTGATCCCTTGTACTATAAGCAATAACGTCCCTGGCACAGACTTCAGTCTGGGCTGTGATACTGCGCTCAACGAGATTGCTGATGTAAGTAGTGAAACGTGCAGTAAAGAGACTGACAGTTTCTATTTTGTAGAATCGTTAACTGACCTTTTAATAGGTCTTCAAAATTAAAGTCACGCATTGAACCTCAGTGTTATTATACAGAAAAATTCCCATCACTTATGCCATAGGATAATCCTTCAGATTGTTGATTATCAAATTGCCCAGGTTTCTTTTCCATTTCTTTACTTACTTGTTTATTTATTTATTAAATTAATTGTGCAACATAAACTGTAATTAAAACTAAACAAGACAGAAAGATCACAAGACAACCAAACAAAAGTGTAAGTATTATGCAATAAATCTTTCAGATATGTGATAGAATCAAACAGTCAGCCACAGGAACAAAGAGGCGTGTCTTCGTGGTGGAGACCATGGGGGGTCACTGTGGTTACCTAGCAACTCTCAGTGGATTGGCAGGAGGTGCTGATGCTGCCTATATATTTGAGGAACCATTTGGTATTAAGGACTTACAGGTAACACCATTACACTTAGGAACTGGTTAATGCTAAGCATTTGTGTCTCTTATCACACTTCTTGCATTTTTTTTTTCTTTTTGACATATTTACTTATCACTTGTTTGAGAAGCAAAATTGTTTGAGCCTTAAAAGCTGGTCTAGACTTCTATATTATAACCCAAGGTTAATCTCCAGTAATCCAGTAAATACAATAATGGGCCTATTTATAACAGAAAGGACATGTCTAATGTTTCAGACTTGGGGAGCTTTTGCATAAACCTCATCATATTATCTGGATTGATTCAACCCTACTTGAGATTCTCCCGAAGTGTAATCACTGTAATCGGCTTAAATGTCTGATACACCTCCTCAAGTTGCTATGAAGGGAATTAACTAGCTGCCCAGAGAGGCGTGTCAGACAATTAAGCTAACTGCACCTAATGCACTTTAGCTAGAACCCCCCCCCCCCCCCCCTCCCATGCAGAGTTGGAACAATCCAGCTGGTACTGCGTTTGAATCTGAACGCAGTCTAATGCCTACTTATTAAAGTTGACTGTAATATGGACTCCATTTGACCTTAAATAGACTAAATTTGGGTCAAAAAATTTAAACCAATTTTTGGGGATTTATCTTGCGAGGCTTAAGTGAAGTCAGATGTTGTGAATCAGGGCTTGACATTAAAGGTGGCCCACTGGCCCTGGGCCAATGAAAACCAACCTAGGGCCATTGAATCGATGGGGTCACTGGCCCAAAGAGCAAGTAAAATGTCATGTGTCAAATCATCCTTGCAATATTTACTGATATCTTGGGCCAGTATCGAAAAAAGTTAGTGTCGAGCCCTGTGAATGCTGTAATTCAAAGAGCTGTTGCTCTGTCTTTACTATGTAGTGTTGAAGTTAATATTACCATGAGTAATTATTGCCTTTCAGAATGATGTCATCCATATACGTGCCAAAATCAAAGATGGTGTACAGAGGGGTCTCATTATTAGGTAACTACGTGGTCCCATGTGTCTGCAAATATATGTGATATACAGCAGTGTAAAAATATATATAGGTGTGTGATATACACTAGTGTAAAAAAAGGAGTGGATCACACACATTTTGCTTATCACTGACTATAATGGTAGATATCAGTGTGATACCATAAATTTTATTTTTCATGCTTGTTCAGCTTTTCAAGCTTTTTTCCACTGGAATTTTTCAATGCAGTTTCTTCTTCTTCTTCTAATTATTATTATTATTATTTAATTTATTATAAAAAAAGTAATGATAAACTTGCTTTTATTTTGCCAGAACTGAAAAAGCCAACAGCAGATTTTCATGTACCACTATTTTTTCACTGGACTTTGAAATGCACCTATTATTATTATTATTATTATTATTATTATTATTATTATTATTATTTCCAGAAATGAAAAAGCCAACAGTAACTACACCACAGACTTCATCCACCAGCTGTACTCTGAGGAGGGCAAGGATACCTTCACCTGCAGGAAAAATGTGCTAGGACACATGCAACAGGTAAATGAAACTACTGACAGTCTGAGCAAACATGCTCACGCGTGAACGTGCACGCCCGCACACACACACACACAAAATGCATTTTATTAATTTTGTCTTAATTTGTATAATAGCAAATGTTGTAAAGCAGAAGGTATATGCTTTCTGTTGGGTATTTCTATCGTATGCTCAGTCTGGTATATGGAAAATGTTATACTTTATTTAACAATTACAGAATGTTTTGATTTTTTTTTTTAGACATATATCATAGCTTTGGTTCAGAAGTTTGATTTGGTGTAAACCATGGCTTTGTGGCTTTATTTTTTTTTAATTAAGTTGCAAATAACTTGACAGGATGACCCAGTCATGTGCTCCATTTTGTTCCACTCTATAATTATTATTATTATTATTATTATTATTATTATTATTATTATTTAGAGAGTTATTCTGTTCTTTAGGGAGGAGCTCCGTCTCCATTTGACAGAAATCTGGGGACAAAGTTTGGCTGCCGAGCTGCAGAGTATCTGTCCAAACAAGTGTCTGAAAGTGTAGTGGACGGTAAGACTTTGTTATTATTATTGCTATTATTATTATTATTATTATTATTATTATTATTATTATTGTCAGCAGAATAGATATGGGAAGTTTGAGGGGTTTGCTAGATGTGCCCTTTTTACTAGGGGAAAAGGGGGCTCTGAATCAAGGTTTGATCTGTTTTCTGCTGTCTTGGTAAGAAAGGTTCAATATGCCATATAAATGACTAAGAGACCATTGCCAGTGACTATCATACTAACTTTGGATTGGAATATCTCCGAGGGGATTGTGGCTTAATTGCAATTAACTTGGGTGGCTTAGATGTCTGTCATGCCTGCTGAGGCTGATAGGGGGTAATTAGCTATCATTTTGCAGCTTTAGTGGGCGTCCCAGACGTCTAAGCCGCTTGGGCTGAAAACTATTTAGCGAGGGACCCAATGGAGATGAACCGATCCTGTTAGATCAATATAGGGATGGGAACCCAGTGTAAGTAATATTGAGGGTGTAATTGTGGTTGTACTTGCAGGTAAAGTGTACAGTACAGCCCCTGGGACAGCCAGTGTTCTGGGTGTGGTCAGGAGACAGATGATAGTGACACCTATGGCTGTGTTGGGAAGCATCACCGACTTCAAGTGAGTTTACTGGCCATGGTGAAAGAGACGGAGAGAGAGAGAAAGAAAGTGGTTGTTTGGTCGTGTGTGTGTGTGTGTGTGTGTGTGTGTGAATGTGACAGAAAGAGAGAGAGTTTGTGTAGGAAAGAGAGCACAGTTTTGTATGTGTGAGTGAGATGAGGAAAGCAAATGAAAAGGGGAGAGAGAGCTTGAAGAACTGCATACGTTTAATTAAAACTTATATGAAACATTCAAATAAAAGCAAAAATAAAAACAAAGTTACTGCATTATAATTACAGAGGGATTAAGTAACTGTACTTCCATTTTTTTTTTAGCAATAAGTGTTCAAGCAGTTTCAGTTTAAGTAGAAGGAATGACACCATATTTTTTTACCTGTCCAGATGTCATTGAAAATGTCCTCCACATAATTTTCAGATATCGTATCCCCAAACAGCAATGGTGGCTGAAGCTACGCCCTCTGCTACGAATCATGGCCAAGCACGAGTCCCAGTACGAGATGGAAGGAATCAACCTCAAGAGCGTGGAGAGCACGGATGAGTCGGACGATGTTGTACTCCAGGCTGGCGTAGGCATCCAATGATTTCACCGCTGTTTTTTTATTGTTTCAAGATGGCTTTGAGAAGTTCTTGTGGTCATAAAAACCTCTCAGCATAAGGAGAGCTGTGAGTCATGAAGAGGATCAATATAGTTCTCCCTGATTTTTGCCCCCGTTGGAAAGAAACCTCTCCAGCCTTCATCCACAATTTGAAAACCGTCAACATGCCATAAATGTCGCATGTATTTGAAAACTTTTTGTGAATTCCAGTCGGACTGTGAATACTCGTGTGTGAATTTTTTTTTTTAAAGCTTGTTGTGACAAAAAAGTTGTCAACTGTAGAACCTCTAAATAATATTCGGATTTTAGAAACTGCTGTGTTTGTATAAATAGTGTAAGAAAAAGTGTACAAAGTTGCATTAATCAAAGCGATGTGTAATTGATATCATGCTGTTTATCATGTTTTGCTCTGATTATGGGCTTTTTCACATTTTTTAAAAAATTGAGCAGTGTAAAAAGTCTCTGGTATTATAGGTGCATGATTATTGCCAGACATTATATTCAAAGTTTGCACAAATCTCTAAGTTTAATCTCAAATTTGTATGAATTTCAGTTGTAAAATTCAAAAAGGTGCCAGTTTGAATTATTGCAGTAACTTTTAATCATTTCTATCACCATTTCACTTTACTTAAGCACAAAATCTTGTATGTTGTAAATGTCCATGGAATATGAACACTTTGCATGATCCCTAATATTTTTTTCCAGAGTATGGTATAAAATTCTCTGATAAAACCCATTTGATCTGTGCAGTTTAAACATAGTGTATTCAATAATTCGTCCAGATATGTCCACTGACATATACTCCAGTCTGTGCCCTTGACTCTGGCCACACCCCAAATGCCAGTCATGTAGAAACTTGGCAAGTGAAATGTTTGCAATTTGTTCAATGTCTAGCCACTGTTTTCTATTGTGGGTCTGTTTCTTTAGATCTGGAGACCCAAAGAGCAAGTAAACTACAAAAAAAAAGTTTTTGGAACAGGCTGATGCTTACATGTGTCCACTGACATGTGTTGGTGAGTCAGTAAACACATGACAGTGTTGCTGTAGACATTAACGTGTCTATTGCCTTGTATCCCTATGTGTGTGTGTGTGTGTGTGTTAAGACATTTATGTACTAGCCATGTGTGTCAGTTGACACATTACAGTGACATGCACTTACATGTCAGTTGACATAACTGTCTGAACAAAAATGTATTTCCAGAAATGCTGTCCAGTTTTCCTACAGTTGTGTGTGTCTTCATCTATCCCAGAACCTTTAGATAACCTTACAGTATTATTAGACATAAGGAGTACCACTAGCAAGCATGAAAAGGGGTATTAATGAAGGGGGAGGGGGGGGGGGGGGTAACTGTTTTCTGCACTTAGGCTGGTGTTCTGTCCACAATGTTAGACATGAAATGGTCTCATGGGAGGGAAGGATTGGCAACATAGATAATAGACCCAAGTTAGACAGTTTTATTTATTAATTTGTTTAAATTATCCCAGGGAAAAATGCTAAATACTTACCCACCGCTTCTTATTTTTTCACAGAAGTTAATTAATTAGATGCTATCATACATGATATGATTTGAAGTTATACAGAGTCTAGTCTTGTTTTCAGTGTTATATATAGCCAGAATCTTTATTCAAGAGTAATGGTGATGTGGTTGTTGCTTTCACATCTTTATTCAAATCTGGATGCTAATATATTTCATTGTTTTTGTGCCATAGTTTTTCTCTCCAGTTTCTTGAGGTTTATTTGGATCTAATTAACTTCTAGGCTATACTGGTAGTGCTGCTGATCTGTAAGACTGCTCAGACAAGATCAAATTTGGATTGAAACACAGACAAACTACTGTGCTTAGAGGCCAGATTATAGAGCCATAAATGTATTCCTTAGAAAATTAAATAAACTGGCGCCAGATTTTAGATGACTGAAATTCCATTCTGCATCAGTATAAATTTTGTTTTTCCTTGACAAAAGTTTGTCTTGATTGATTTTCGATCTGATTTAGTCGTTGTTTGAAGAGATCTTACAGAGTAGATTATGACTACGAAAGGTGCTTTAAATTATTTATGTACTTCAAAGAAGTTTTTTTACTTGATTTAGAGACCAGTCTAGCACAGCCTTGTAAAGCTGATATGATTTCCTTTAGCCTGAATATTTTGCTTTAACCTGAAGATTTTTAGTTCTTTAAACCCAAATGATGAGTGGCCCTACTTAATCAGAGCCAAACAACCTCTTTAGGTGCATGGTAATACAAGATAATTTTTTCGTTGTCTTTTATTACAAATTACTTTGGTGCTGGTTCAAAGGAAAACAAATTCCTTAATATCTAGAGTGGGCATTTGATACTTTTCTGCCTGTAAGATATTTGGAGTACAAGTTCTCACATACAATGTGACATAGTACCTGATACGTTGTAACTGTTTCATGTACTAGATTAGTAACCAATTAATAATGGAATACCACTTCACAAGTTGGCTGTTAGTTGTCTCAGACTGGCGTTAAGATTAAAATCGTTACCTCTGGTAACAAAAAGAATGTCATGATTATAACGGCTGCGGTTTGCCCGTTTGTTAGTTCACAAGATTTCTTAGAGATGTCTTTACAATTTATTATTATTATTATTATTATTATTGGCAGAGGTCTGTGCTCTTGGAGTGCTTGTTCTACTGTTTAACCATAAAATGGAATAACTTATAGGAACTTACACTAAAGATTTTGTTATATTTCCTTCACTTTAGTTTTAAAGCACTAGACAATCTGCACATTTGTTATTAGGTATATTCTACTGAATATACATGTAAGTGTTAGAACAAACGTTTTGATTTATTTAAAGTTATGGTTAGCAGACAAAAAGTGCCACAATTCTGCACAAACGTATATTGATAGAAATAAGTTCAGTTAGAAGTACAACAGGTATTTTGATAAATGAAAATTTTCAGTAAACAGACTAAAAAACACTACAAAACTGTACATACGTATGATAAAAATGCCCTATGGTAAACTGTGCCACCTGTTGCAGCTATTAATTATGAAGTATCCTAACCGCGTATCTGCAGAGAAAGGCTTAGTTTGAGCCAGCTGCCTTCAACACGTAGGTATTAGATTGAATATTTCGATCAAAATAAGTGACCTTGCTTTCAAGAGTGAGCTTTTCTGGGAATGTTGGATTCATTGGCCACTGCGTTTGCGATTTATATTTACTTTGTGTTTGTTCAATAAAACCTAACCATTATTTTTAAAAATTGACCTCATGTTTGCATTTGACACTGGTATTAAGTCGTTCCCTGACTTTTTAATTGACTGGATTAATTAATGAATTGATTGGGTTAATCAACGAATTTAATTGGATTATAGGAAATGAGCGAACATCGTTCTTCACTGCCCTGTACCAGGGTGACAGATATTACAGGAACATTTTTCACGAAATGTGGAAATGTGCCTGTAATATCTGCCATCCGGGTAGAGGGTGGTCCTTCACCCCGAAAACCGACGGTCATTGAAATCTTCTTACTGAGAACTATGTAGACTTACGTAGGAATGTAGGAATGTTTTAACAGTGGGCAGTGGTACTCAGGGCCCGAACTTGTGGCTGACTGGCTGGACGGTTTTCAGCTTGGCGTCCCTTAGTAAATTGTAAAGTTTAAAGTAACGAGTTTGCAGAAGTTTGCAAGAAAAATTTTATTGCTGCTAGTTTGCAGCCGTATTGCAACAAATTTGCAAGAAATATTTGCAGTTTTTAGCAAGTTTGCTGCAAATTCACTGCTTAGGATAGCAACGTATTGCGCCACTGTCTCGATTTCACTTCAACCAAAAGATAACCATATTTTTTCTTCATTTAAATGTAGTTATTTACATGTTATATTATCTTTGTTAAGTTAATCATGTCTCATCATGAAGGCTAAGTCAATAAACTTTTTTTCCCTTGGTAAAGTTGTATTTAACGTCTCCAAGCACGTCCAGTTTGATATTAGACATTTTAGTATGAAGTCTATATATAATATTTTAAAACATACGAATGAAGCCAAATTTGAATATTCTGCTTTATTAGTGACTAATAACTTACTAGCATCAACTTTATTAAATAAATATATAAAGGTAAGATTTGTGGTAAATAGCCAAATGTTGAATTCCTCACATAAGAACAAGGAAAATTGATGTAGTACTATGTTGACTGCACGAAAGTGTTTAGAAAATACAAACTAGAAAGGTAAATAAAAAGTTTGACAACTGTGCCATATTTTGCACGGTCTAATCTTTAGTTCATTAAGATGCCGCATATTGCCATTTGCACTATTAAGCAATAAATTTCCTTACGTTACAGCTGAATGAGAATCCGAGTTTAATTTGTGTTATATTTACGACAGAAAATACCAGTCCGTTTTTATCCTTGTTTGATTGCACCCGGGTCTGTCATTATAGTTTTATCTGGTTTGTTTGTATTTACTAATAAGTGGCGTATTTATTTTGTAATCTTTTGAATAAATTCATTATTTCGTCCTCTAGACTATATATTTCGATGGAATATTGAATATTTAGGGCGACTTTTAGACTCTGTTACCAATGACTATACATCAGTGCAATCAGAAAAAAAAAGAGTTTCATGAAAAATGAAAAAGAGCAAAGAAACAACTAAATTAAATTGTATTATTTATTGGCACGAAGGAATCTCTATTACTAACACCATCACATCAGAGTTCAATGAATGTGAACCTAAATTCTAATAATTGTAACACTACTTTTCTACCGTCCCGAAAAACCACACTCTAGCTCTCCTATCCAAGTTTTCATATTTATAAGAATTCTAGCACATAAGTAAATAAAAAACGTTAATAAAAGAGATGGAGAATGATCATTCATACGACATCTATTTATATTCCACGCATCTACATGTACGCAAGCAACAGCGGAACGTGTACGCATGTCATACGTATTTGGCGATAATAATTGCATTGGCAGCATTGCAGTACTAGAAATACACAGCTATATTATTAAGCATGCTACTAACAGTAAAAATATGCTGGAACTTTTTTGTATCTAATCAAATAATAATACCGATGATGATAATAATAAACGAAGAACGGAATAATAAAGGAATCACGACTAATTAAACAATTCTGTGAAAATGCATGCAAGTTTTTTTTCTTCCATGAAAACACCAAGACTTCTTTTAGTTGGAAATTTATCTACGTTAGAATAAAAATCGGGGTAAACGAAATCAGTTTGTATAAACTCAAAGTCAATACTTTGCTAAAGTAAACTAAACTAAACTAAAAGCAAAAACACAAAAAAATTACTCTACACATATTGATATATTGGCTGCCGCATTGAAGAAACAAACACAATTTAAAGTTAAAACACTCGTTAAAAAGAAAGAAGACGGGATACATTTTTTGTTACAAGAATCACAATATTAAAATAAGAGAATAAACACAATTGTATAACGGCAATAGTGGAAACATTCCCAGGAAATAATTGTTTAATGTTGAATACGTTCAAAGTCGTGAAATCTGGACTTATTTAGCTTATCTTGTTGAAAATGTCGACTTAATTTCTGTCTGTTTAGACTGCCATGTTAAAGTTTGAGATAAAAATGAAAAAAAAAAAAAAAAGGAAAAACTTGATAACGTTCTCCAGGTTACAGCTTCCCCTTATACTTAAAGTCTTGTATCTTGATGTGGTTAACCAGCCTGTAATATTAAATAAAGGTAATCAAACTAAATAGAAGGGAGGAAGAAGAGAAGATGAGAATTATTTTACGTTTAGGACACAGGAAGAGATAAAAATGTTCGGTTTTATATCGTACGTTAATTAGTCAATTTTTATGGGTAGGAACGGGCAGGGGCAGATGGAAGGGATGCTCCCGTAGTAAAGAAATTGGGGTTGTGGGTACGCTGTGTCCCTCCCCTCCGTCCTCGCCCCCTGAACCCACGTTCCTTCTTAATGTATATCATATGATTCAGTATGTTAGTTTAACCCCACCCCCACCCCCACCCTTTACACTGGACGGCGTCCTTTCTGTGCCATTTGTGCGGCCATGAAACTCGCATCGCGGTGCTCGTAGAAAGGAGGCTTTGGTTGCAAATGAATGTTCAATGATCGGTCAGATGGCACGTACAGTAATTTTTTACTCTACGGGACGCAGAAAGGACGCCGTCCGTTGTAAAGGGGGCTTTATACTCACCAGTCCTTGGCAATGGCGATGGTGCTGCCAGCTACCGGTGACTGCCAAAGCTTCATGTCATCCAGGAAAGCTTTGTGGATCTTAACGTGTTCTTCATAGTTTTCGTAGTTTGCAGCTTTCATCATTTCCTGGTGACAGAGATACATGTAAATGTCAATAGTACAGGTCGTGTTGAATAATTCTGAGTGTAGATTGTTTGTGTCAGAGAGAGAGAGAGAGAGAGAGAGAGAGAGAGAGAAATCACAAAAAAGCAAGCAAGGGTGGAATGAGAGCAAATGTAGATAAATCACATGTTATACAGATTATTAAAATTTCTGAAATAGCATCTTAATGTATTTTAACTCACGATTAATTTCCGACCAAATATGTCTACCTTAACCCATATTAAATCATCATCAGAACTAGTACAGTGAAAATGTTTTGCTGGCCTCAGTTTCACAGAAAAATATTAAGTTAGTTCTCTGACTTAGTTGACTATGGGATTTCTATATGGGTGCTGTTACACTGCTCCTGATAGGGTACAACCTGTAAGATGTGCCAACGTGACCATGTAACCTTGGTAATAAGTTCTTAGCCATAGAACCAGACTTAAGCATAAGTTTATATTTTGTGAAACGGGGCCTGGTCTTCAGTCTGCTCAAATCCAATTCCCCTTAACTCACCTCCTCGTCATGGAAGTGCTTTGTGAAGACCTTCACGGCCAGCTCCACGTCTTCGTCAAGGTTGCTCTCGGCGACGTTAAACAAGCCAACGAAGAGGGCCATGTGTTGCTCGTCGATCTTGTCATACTGGGGAAGAAAAGATGCAAATTTTCAAAATGTCATCATTTTCCATCTGCTTATCTTTCCAAACACCTAGAATAATGTGTTTACCTTAGAATTCTTTAAAATCCTTGTGGCTTCAAAACTAGAGATTACGTTTTAAAATCTGGAATGGATTTATTCCATTTGGTTTTCATACTTTAAAGGAGGAAGGGTATTATAAAAATTATGCTATATAGTGTGCCATATATATATATATATATATATATATATATATATATATATATATATATATATATACTTTCTCCTGCTTATTGAAAAAATAAATTTAAATGAACGAAAGCCACATCCTCACTGCATTAATACTTCATCACGCTATAGTACTGCGATAAAGAAAAGAAACTCTTTGCTGAATCTAACGGTGACATCTGGCATTGTGTGGGAATTTTTTCCAATATCTGTCTCCTTCTGTGCCGCGAAAAGCAATATCTAGATCTTAAGAGAAAAGAAGTAATCCAACTGCAGATTTAAATGTCGTCGAAAAATACACGTGGCGTTATTTTCTAAGCATGTTCCAGTTCATTTTTTTTTCAAAGTTTTTTTCTAATTTTTGCATTTTAGATCTTATCATACTTCTTCCTTTCCTTATTCCGCGGTACAAATTTGTGTTGATGCTAAAAATCAGCAATTCTGGTGTTAACGAAGGGGGAGGGGGGGGGGGAGGAAGGGCGGTTACTCCTAACCGAATGCAACACGAACGTTATCTACCGGTGGATATCACATTTCACATGCCAATGGGACATTGAAACCTCACAAATGGGTAAAAGTTAACTACTGGCCAAACGATAAACGAGGGAATCAATAGCTACGCCAATGAAAAGAAAAAGAAAATATAAGATCTTATAATAGTTTACCTTATAGCTCAACTCGTAATTTCAACATAATTACATATTAAACTTATAATTTTGATTTACTTACGAAAGTTCTGAATGTCCTGTCCCATACGTAGGGTTCGGGCATAGCGTGTGGGCCTGGCGGTGGCATTGTGACTGGGAACAAGTGGCAGTAAGGTTCACTATCTTGATAGAGTAAAAACGTGCGTAGTGTCTCTGTGTGGTAGTGGTTAAATAGTCGCTTTTATACCACTAGTATCCCTCCTTAACTTTTGTTTGACCTTCCAGAATCATCTGTGGATGCGTTCACACTTAGAGCAGTTCGATCGGCTCTGGTTCGGTTTAAGACTTGCTCAAGGACTTCTAAGCTGGTGCATGACGTCAGTCATCTCGACTACATGTCTACGTCACTACGTTCTTTTGAGCAGAACTAAAGGGAAATATTAGATGTCCCCAAATCCATATTTTCTATGTCGGCATATCCAGCAAATTTACTTATTTTTCACAATTCGGAAATTTTAGGAAAACACACAGAAATGCATCTGATATTCCCACCAGGAAGCCATGGTGGTATGAACGACTGACAAGTCACTTAATACTCAATTATTCAATTAGAAATAGTTTAAAACACGAGTCCAGCATTCAATCGTGAGTTAAAAAAACACAATTTTGTTTGGACGTAAATTCGATTTGGCAAGAAAACCACTGATAAAAAAATACTGTATTTCCAATGCCGCCATATGTGCTTGTATATATATCAACAATACAACTTACTATAGCCACAAAGCAGATCGCGGTTATTACTATCCAGTGTGAATTGGACTAAGAGAAAACCTTTTTGACAGACGTGACAGGCTAAAGATTTTCCGAGCTGAACGTGTTAGCAGCCAAGCATGGAGGCCAGCTGGGGAATAAGACAAGCGCAAATAATGCGTTAAATTGAAGTCTCAGTTATTATTTTGTAAGAACAATTAAGCTGAACACCATCGGACACCCAAAATAGGATTGGGATTGGGTTTAAAATAAATAAATAAATAAATAAATAAATAAATAAATAAATAAATGCTTGAATGTCTTACCAATAACTATAGGACAAACTAACCGGCCGACAAAAATAAGAAAAAAAAAAAAAAAAAAGACAGACTGAACTATGGATACAAAGAAATGAAAAACCGAATGAATTAACAGATAACGTCAAAAATACATTCATTCATTTTCTTACAAATAATTACTCTTTTTATTTTTATTTTCACAAACTATATCTAAATTAAACTACGCAGGTGCTCCCCCCCACCCGGTTGTAAAATTCTTTAACGTTGTTAGGGTGCGCTCACAGTGCGTACTTTGCACACGGCAATTTATCACCCCCTAGAAGCTCGAGAAGGCCTGTCCTTCAGTTAATATGATTGCATTCAGCCAGAGTCCCCGTGCAGTTGTGTCGATCTACCTAGTACGATAGAATTAATGTGAACACACCCTTAAGTAATCGCCTGCTCCTTTGTCCCTTATTTGGCAGTTAAACAATGCCTTGTGGGATGAGATTTCCATGTGTCATGGTAGTTCTGATTGTTACGTCTGAACTATTAAACAGATGTGAAAAGCGTCGGCCGCCATGTAAATAAGCAAAGCAACTGTGGGACCATTCCCCGACGTTATCGTACCATCTGTGGGTCGATCTATCTCCAAGGGGATTCTCGCTAAATTGCTATCAACTTGAGCGGCTTAGATGTCTGTCACGCCTACTGAAGTTATTAAGGTTGATTATCGTTAAGCAGCTTCAGTAGGCGTGTCAGACATCTAAGCCGCTTGAGCTGAAAGCAGTATAGCGAGAAACTTCTCGGAAATGGATCTATCCTGTAAGATCTACCTAGGTATGGGAACCCAGTAATATTCTTTCCACGCGGCACGTTTGTCACGCCGCTTAGAACGAATATTGCAAAAAAAAAAAAAAAGGAAAGAAATGAACTTTGTTCCAAGTCACAAAACGTGTTAATTTATTCACAACTTAATCTGAAGATATTCGACGAAATCAAGAAGTCACGTCTGGGGGTTCATACTATTTCCACACTTACTGTCATCACGAACTACTGAAATTGTAACAAACGCACATGCACTGTGAGCATGGCTCCATATAGACCCTCACAACATGCCTCGTTTCTCTTACTGCTATTTTAATATCAAGGTGAAGAGGTGAAGAACTTTTATCACTGTCTATCAACTATCACTTAACTATCAACTATTATCAATAACTCTCAGTTATCAGTTAATATCAATTATCAATAACTAACAACTATCATGAATAACTGTCAGCTACTTACAATACAATTGATCTATTTTGTGCATCAAAATAAACTGCCCATGCTTACTAACTACCACAACTTCATAAATTACTATAACTTACCACAGCCTCACTTTAGTGATTTTTTTATTATTCACTGGCTGTGCATGCTCTCATAAGCTGCTAAACTGCCATGTAAGTTATTTACTCCAAACTAAGAAGTCAAAATATACTCAGCTTCGTAGTACATGAAAAATTACAATATACTAAACATAAAACTGTAGATTAAAATATGAAAATCCACTTAACCTTACCGGTACAGTAAACGTTACTTAAGTCTGTGCACCTTAAATAAAGAGTTAAAATAGGCATTACAATTCAACCGTGGCACCAATGATTAAAATAATAGTTGTAATTAAATTATATTAAAATTAATTAATTATTATAATAATTTAATTGGATTGTAATCATCAAAATGACAAAATCATGCATGCACATACACCACCTAACGTATACACTGGTGAAGTTAAGATATGTACGTAAGATTGACGATTATGATCCGGCAGCTAAACAAAGGGATTGGTTCTTTTATAACGATTACACCAAGCTTTACTGGCAGCTAGGTGGTACAGCGGCCAGGGCCTTCTTACAAATGTCAGGTAGATCGACCCCCGCTTATATTTATGGGTAGCTAGCGGTCAGTAAGAAACAATCATGATGAAGTCCTACGTCAAGGTTGGCCGTAAGCCAACGGCATGAAAGATTTTCGCCTTTTGTTTGATAATTATCATTTATGATCCAACTACCAAGCTAATGAATATTTTTGCTGATTTTAGCAATTTATAAACATTTGATCATAGTGCATTTACCAAAGAGGTGGCATGCCGTCTACGCCCGGGATTGCACTCTAATTGCTTTAAAGAAAAAAATGACTGACTGTATATCTGAAAATTGTGAGCCTCGACACATTTACGATTACCTATGCTAACTACACAAACCCATATATATTTCTAGATGCAGGGCCGAAACAAATGACTAAGGGACAATTCCCAGACCCAATCGTACTAACTGTGGATTGATCTATCTCCAAGGGGATTCTCATTGAATTGCAATCAGCTTAAACGGCTTAGATGTCTGTTGCCTACTGAAGTTGCTAGGGGGTCATTAATTATCGTTTAACAGCTTCGGTAGGCGTGGTAGACATCTAAAGCCACTTAAGCTGAAAGCAATATAGCGAGAAACCTCTTGGAGATGGATCGATCCTGTTAGATCGATGTAGGTATGGGAACCCAGTCATATTCTTAATTATAAAAAACCGTACCATATGTACATATATAAGGAAGTAGTGGGTCTCTATATACGAATAACTAAAGTTAAGATTTATGCCAATAATAATACAACCAAAAGATGCCCAGAAGTTGTGGGATCTATATGGATAACTAAAGGTAAAACCCGCCCGAATTATATACAATTACACCACATCTAAAAGTTAAGGACCTTTATACAAGTAAGGTAATAAAACTCAGATACGTTCCAGCTGAACCACGCACCAAAGGAAAAAAACATTAATTCAATGCTGCTATATTCTGAATTAAATTGTCAATGTTTCTAATTAACTGGTCTTGGTATATGCCCATGTAGGGATCGACAATTTGTGGGCGTTTAGACTTTCTGTTCGGGCGATAGTGATGGGTCAGACCTTTTTCTGAATCTGTTTCATGTATGGGCCCCATTGCCTTCTCTGCCCAGTGTACGTTCATAGTCCAAATCTTCTCCGGTTTCACGATGGATTTAAAACAGCATTTCTTCTTGAATTCGTAAATCAGTCTGATTCTCTGACGCGCCAGAATGGAAGCCGGGTGGTATTTTATAAGCCTTTCATCTGAATTCTCGCCTGGCATTACTGCACTGTTCAAAATAAACTCGGCCCTTCTGAAGTAGTAAGCCGAGACATTTTGCGGGAGGCTTTTTATCATTTTCATCCAGACTCGGGTGTTTCTTGGTACGATGACTTCATCAGTATCCATGAAAACGATGTACTTGAACTTGTGCATGTTGCGGTACAGGCAATCCTGAACAGCAGCGAGCTTGGCGTAGTAGTAAACCCCTTCATTGTACAGATCATCGGACACATTGACACGTATTTCACGAGGCAAGGGCCATTGGATCACGTCGAGAAAGCCTGAAAGTAAAAAAGAAAATCAACTTTTGGGTAACAATCTTCCGGTGTGGTAAAGAATCCCACCGCTGCCACCTTTTATTTTACAGACTTCTTCCTCGTCATACTTTGGAATTGGGCACAACCTGTGTCCTGTGTCACGGTCATTTCGTAACGTCCGTATTTCTTACCATTAAATCTTATCTCTACCAAATTACGTGGATATCGCTGTGAGAGCTCATCAGAGGCAACAATAGCCAGTTTCAACATTGTTTTGTTAACTCGTTGTTTTCTCATTTTATTCCCCAAGTTATATGGAATGCCCCTTTTTTGTAATTTTAAAACTTCACAAGGTATTTGTAATGTTTAACTTTACAGATACCGAAAACCATAACTTTCACTTATTCAGACTATACACTATGCGGTAGAAAAGAGGATTGAAGAAAGCGTTCAAAACGAAACTATTGTACTGCAGCTAGGTTCTTCGAACTCCTCGGGGAGGGGACTCTTGCTGAATGCAATGAGATTAAAATATTGGCACGCCTCTTTCTGGCTTTGAGCAGAATACAGAAAAGTTGGTCATTGTAGGAGCACGTTGGGAACTCACCTTGTGCCACGTAGGCTTCAAGAACGTGATTAAGCACCGGATCTCCGGTGTAATTGTACATTGTAACATGTCTGGCTCCCAATATCTTGTACATTTCAAAGGCTTCCACCAATTTCAGAAAGTTCTTGAAATCATAGAGAGGCGTCTGGATGCAGACACCAAAGGATTGTTTGTCTTTGCCTTTAATCCACGTTGGTTGTCTGTCAAGGACTGTCAACATGGGCGGCCCTGTTTCTTTGGTCGATATATCAGGAACAACTGACACCGCGATAGGATGTTGTATCTTGGAGACGTTGCAATGGAGGATCGAACAAGCAAATCTGAAAGTAGACCGAGGTGCTTAAGTCATGGTGGTTTGGAGGGAGGGTCGTTGGGGATACGTGCCTCTCAATTACATTTAGAGGCATCCTTAAAGTGTGTGCTCCCTCTCCACCTTAATGCAAGTAGAGGGCAAAAATTATGAAGAAACTGCCTAAATTAACGCATATTTTTTGGGATGGGACTTTCATGGGTCTCACGTGAACGGCCCATTCTATGTTTTTTTTTTGAGACAAGTTCTTGGCGGCTTCTACGACGTTTATTTAAATTGATTTCAAAGTAGTACGCATACGGAGGTCTAGTGGAATAAATATTTGTACGCACCAACTATCTCTATGTCATTTAACTTTTCTCGGTTCAAGACATGTCTCAGTGCGTCAAAAATCAAAGATCATTTCACACATTCTTTGATGAAAATTTCCATTAAAAACCGGGAATTTAATCATCTATGTAGGAAGATTGGTCCATTTACCAGCTGAGAAGTCCCACAATAATATTAGAAATAAAAAAATACACTACCTTCCATCTTTTGGAATAATTTCCACTGAAAGTTTACGTAGGCTGGTTGATGTCTGGGGGTTACTTTCGTTCTTTTGTTTATCTCGTCCAACAGTTTTATGCCATACTCGACAATAAGAGGGAGCTTTTGTATTTTTGTCTATTATAGAAATAATCCTGATAAAGGAATCGTGTCTGGTGTCCCAAAATGCCGAAAACACGTAGTGGTTTGTATTTGGAACTAATTTCCATGTGAAATTCTCCACCAGTTTAACACCATCCAAAATTGCCTCCGTGCCATCAGGTTGTTGTGGTGGAATGTGGGCAACCGGAAGAACAGAATCGGGTTTCCGTGACGGGAACAGCAAATCCAACGGCGGCTGGTAGTTGCAAGTTAACTGCTCTTGCAAAGAGGTTGACATGGGAATACGATGAACAGGATACATCCAAGTGAAATAGTACAACAAGGGTAATAGAAATAACCCTGTCCATGTAACGAATAAAATAAAAAGAAAGCGTTTGAGACGGAAATTGATTATGGTCCGCATTTTGTTACACGTAGTTCACTCTCGTGCACGTAATCGGCGTCCAATATAAAGGATGACAAAACCTAAACCCGGGAAAGGCTGTCGTGAAATTATCACTCTCTTGGAATAATAATCAAATTCAGCACATTTAGCCGAGGAAAAATTCACGCTGCGTGCCAGCTAGTCCTGCTAATTCACGGGGACCTGGAGAATCACATTTTGTCATTTTTATTTTGGTTATCGGCGTCAATGTCAAGGTTTCCCGGTATGACAGGAATGGTTGTCTTAAGAAGGGAAGTCCGAGGTCCCATATGATTAGCACAGGTTAGGGTTATTCGGAGTATAAGGGTTATATATAAGGAAATATGGGACGAGTGTCACTTATTCAAAGTAATAAGGAAAGGACAACGGTTTATAGCTGACTACCATTCTTGTCACACCGGACAAAAATGGGGTTCTGTGAAGCAATTTTATAAGAATTATCAATAAGGTGTATGGATTATATCAAATAGAATATTCTTACCGTACTGCTTTTCAATGAAGGGGGAGGAAGGCCATGGCCGGTGTATGTTTACCCCCCCCCCCCTTTGCCACTTTCTGGCCCCTTTCCTTCCAAATAACAGTATAGCAAGCGAAACAAAACAAAAAAATCTTTCCATACATGTGTCCTAAATAGAGGGCCATACGATGAAAAAATCCTTCCTGCCTTGCTACTGTTGTTGCTACTGCTTTATATCTATCAAGTGAAGCGAGGCAATTTCTTTTTAGTACCCCCCCCCCAACACTTTCCGTAGTAAAATCCTCCATTGCTCTTCCTTTTTTTACATTTTTCCTATCTTATATCGTGTCTATCCAAAAAAGTAACTTCTTACAGCTGATCGGTAAAATACTTACTACGCATTACGAGGTATCTCTATGGCAACAGACAATGAGAGCATTCACATCGAGAAGAGCCGAGGTCTAGTAAGGCCGAGACCTAAATATGGCGGACCTACATGAAAGGAAAACCGCGTAACCCTTTAATGGTCTCTCAGTGACATTCATGACATCCATATTTAGGTCTCGGCCTTACTAGACCTCGGCTCTTCTCGATGTGAATGCTCTCAGTGGGACCATTCCCATAACCCTATAGCACTAGCTGGATCGATCTTACTCCCTGGGGATCCTCGCTTAATTGCATTCAATTTAAGCGGCTTCAATGTCTGGCACGCCCTCTTGTAACTTAAAGTCAGGAAACCATTTTGGTCTATACTGTTGTTCATGTTGCTTTGTGAGGGGGAGTGCCAGACAGTTAATCTGATTACATTGACTGCGCCTTAACGAAAATCAGGTACATCGCTGAGATACATCGATCCTGTTGGTACGGTAAAGTTATGGGAACGTTGACTATTATTGCTTCTATTGTTGCTTCATATTTCACATGTTTTAAGCGACTAAAAATTTTTTTGCGAAAACAGAATCAACAGGATCCACACATATAAGGAAAGATACTGCCCTCACGAAACTTTCTTATAGAGTATATAGGAAATTGACACTTAATCCTATAGGGTCCTATAAGAAATTTCCAAGGTAGAAATCCTCTAGGGCTTCGATAGAATTTCTATAGATTCTCATACAGGCCTATAAAGTCCTATAGAACGTTCTATAGGAAATTTTCGTTCGGGCATGTGCATTGAGACGTTTGGAGATCGAGCGGCGTTGCACGCGTCGCTTCATTCTAAAGAAAAATCATCAGACTCAGAGATTAAGCTTCAAAAGTGTTTTTCATACTCACAGTAGATCCTTCTGTCTTGAGCGCTGTTCGACGACTACTAGGAATTGTGTTGTATCCGTACACAACTAGGTAAGACAGCTATTATGATGCGGGTTTTAAGCAATAAATTATATCGTCAGCAAATGCATGCGTATTCATACTTTTTTGAATCGGTTTAACTGTCCGTTTTTTTAAGAAAGCAATTCTGTTCAAAAATGCATGTTTCTATATTTTATAGAACTGGTTGATCTGCTCTGATTTTAAGAAAACTATTCTGTCAACAAACGCATTCATCTATATTTTATAATTTTTTTTATTTGTTCTGGGTTTAAGAAAGCAATTCTGTCAACACATGCATGTCTCTATATTTTATAGAACTTGTTGATCTGTTCTGGATTTAAAGAAAACAATTCAGTCAACATATGCATATGTCCATATATTATAGAACTGGTTGATCTGTTCTGGTTTCATGCGACATTTGCCGCTGACGGTGTTAAGAATTGGGATTGCTTTGCTCCATGTGCATGAATAGCTTCAGTTAGCAAGGGGTCTTCCATTTTCATCATCAGTTCCTACGCTGGGGGTTTGTATGTCCTCTTTATGCTTTTGAAAAATTAAAAAGATAATCCACAACTGCAGTCAAGTGCGGTCACCATTTTAAGTTTTTCACCTTTCCAGCAAACACAAAACGTTTAAGAACGTCACTATGACGTTATCATAGCATTTTTGGTTATATAACGCTATGAAACCTTATAATAACGTCCTGTCTTCGTTGGGTTGTACTCCCTTAAAGTGGGGTCAGAAAAAAGTTTACAATTTGTTAATTTGTGAAGATGATGATAAAATGGATGACCCAAAGGAAAGGAGAATAAACAACATTGACAAAATTTAAATATATTTATTTTTCTTAATCATGATGGACATTATTTCAACGCACAGTACGAGTAGGTAGGAATCGAGATATCGCATCTCCCTGCCTGCAGGCTTTATTAACGTTAAAACATTATAAGAGATTACACCCTTAATTTATGGCTGCCTGGGCACATTATTGAAAATATTTGTCCATTTGATGTCCACTTTCACCAACATTTAAATAATCCAACACCCTGGTTATGTATAGCACCAAAAGCATTTTCAAAGCCTGATAAAGCACGAACATTCCAGGAATATCATTATCATCTGTGCTCTACCAGCAAACACTGAACATTATTATAACGTTACCATAACGTTATTATGACCAAATAACGATATGGTAACGTTCTGGTAACGTTATAAAACGTTCTGTATTTGCTAGGCTGCATGATATTAAAAACGGTCTGGATACTCACACCGATGTTTCTCGCGAATGTAAAACAGCAATGGTCGTCTGAAATAAGCTTGCTCAAAAATTCAAATTACTACATGTGAATAACCTTATTTTTAGGCTTTTCATTGGTCAGTTACATACTATTCATTATTTATGCGCTTGTATAATCAATCTGATCAACACACCGGCATACACTAAACTCACTTACTTGTTGAATAAAATCACAAAAGGAAAATGGCAAAATAAAGCAAGCACTAACATGCGCGAATAAATATGTTAACATTACTAGATGGATGTGATGTAAAAACTACACTACTAAAATATCCTTGGTAAGCAGCCCTTGATATATCAGCTACAAAACCCTGTACAAATATTGTTTGTCATACTTAACTTAGAAGATAGCTACATGCAATGGTATACATATGTCGATATTGTCTAGTACTAATTTTCATTACAAAGAAAAGTTGATAAGATCTTTAAATATAACTAAATTTATATTAAAAAAGTTAAATGTTTATGTACATGTATTTAAAACATTTAAAAAAAAGAACACCAATAATCATTGTATGTGCTCAACTTGTTAGGGAGAATGCATGGTCATTATACATTTATGGGTGCAATGTAATTAAAGGTACACTCTATGAGATTTACCCGCCAAAATGGATATTCCCCGGAAAATAAGCAATTTTCTCGCACTCTCGAATCGTTTTTCTATCCCTCCCCCCCTCCATTTGGGTTTGACCTTTGAAAAAATTGGTAAAGGTTGATCTTAACTTAATGTGACTGTCCAGTCACATTAAGTATACTCTGCATGAAATTGTCAATGTTGCTCATTAACTGGCCTTCGTATCTGGTCATATATGGATCGAGAGTTTGAAGGCGTTTTGTCATGGGATGTGAGCGATAGTGATGGGTGAGTCCTGTATATGCCTTCGTTTCATGCATCGGTCCGTCGGCCTTCTCCGCCCAATGAATGCTCATGGTCCAAATTTTATCCGGCCTCACAATCGATTTAAAACAGCATTTCTTGTTGAATTCGAAAATCAGCCTGAATCTATGACGCGTCAGAATGTAAGGCGGATGGTACTTCAGAAGCCGTTGATCAACGTGTCCCGTGGAATTTTTTCGTATTTTTGCCTTGGCCAAATTGAACTCGGCCTTTTTGAAGTAGTATCCCGCCACATCTTGCGGTAGGCTTTTTATCATTTTCATCCAGACTCGGGTTTTTCTTGGTACAATGACTTCATCAGTATCCATGAAAACGATGTACTTGAACTTGTGCATGTTGCGGTACAGGCAATCCTGAACGGCAGCGAGCTCGGCGTAGTAGTGAACTCCTTGCTTATCGTCCCCGTCGGACGTATTGACGCGTATTTCACGAGGCAAAGGCCAAGGGATCACGTCAAGAAAGCCTGAAAATACAAGGAAAATCAATTTCTATAAAATCAACAATCCCACCGCTGCCACCCTTATTTGTAACTGGTGTACACTAGCACTAACGTGGAACGTAATTGAAACGCTCCGAGGTCAATTCGTCAGGAACAAATATTTTTCTTCCTTTCTTTTGAAACACATATATCATATGTTTATTAACATGAAATTACAATGAAAATATAATTGACGAAAACAAGACGGTGAAGTATGTACATTTGCTATATATTTCGAGGTGTTATTTTGAAAGGTTATCATCTCACACCATATGCTGTATATTTTAATATATTCTTTTACTCTTATTCAAATAAGAATTGAGAATAAGTTAAAAAAAGATGGTTTTCAACTACTAATAGTTTTCTTACAACGGTCTGCCTGATCACAACGACTTTATGAGACCGTGACACAGCTTATATCCTCCCCATCTCTCTCTCTCTCTCTCTCTCTCTCTCTCTTTTAAGGCCCCTCTATACTGGACGGCGTCCTTTCTGCGTCCTGAAGTACGGTCCAGTTTGAGAGTAAAAAAAATAATAATAATCTACGTGCCGAAAACTGGCCGATCATTAAGCATTCATTCTGCAACCAAAGCAATGCTTGTGCCTCCTTCTTACGACCACAACGATGCCAGTTTCATCTATCTCACGAAGGATGCAAAAAGGACACCGCCCAGTATAAAGGGGGCTTTACACCCACACACACGCGCGCGTGCACAAACCCCGCAGTAACTGAACTCTACCAACTATGAAACTGTGAACAAGCACTCACCTTGTGCCACGTAGCCTTGAAGAACGTGATTAAGCACTGGATCTCCGGTGTAATTGTACAGAGTAACATGCTTGGCTCCCAATATCTTGTACATTTCAAAGGCTTCCACCAATTTCAGAAAATTCTTGTAATCAAAGAGAGGGGTCTGGATGCAGACGCCTATAATTTGTCTGTCTTTGCCTTTTATCCAGTTGGGTTGTCTGTCAACGACTTTCAACATTGGAGGCCCTGTTTCTTTGACCGATCTATCACGAACAACTGACACCGCGATAGGTTGTAGCAGCTTGGAGACGTCGCAATGGAGGATGGAACAAACATATCTGAAAATAGATTAAGGTAATAAGACAAAGACAGACTTGGGGGAAGGGGGTATTTGCAGAGGACACGTTCCTCTCAATTATATCCAGGGACATCCTCTCTCTAACAAAAACCTCTTTTAGAGTCCCTGCATCCGTAAGACATTTATTGGAAGTTCATCCAACATCCATTAGTGTGCAAACAGCGTGCTAGTACAGCAGTGCAGCGACATCAAATAGACATTAGCAAGGAACAGACTAGTGAAACGCTATCAAGGTCGTCTGCAACCAAATCTGTCAATTTTTAAGGAATTAACGTACGCGCAACGTTGATGGCAGGGTTTTATCATCCCAATACATTTTTTTTCAGTGAGTCAAAAATGAAAGGTCTTTTCACGTTCTGTAATAAAAAATTCCATTTTAAACCGGGAATTTATATATCTTTACGAAGAGAGTGGATCAATTATCAGATGAGTAATCCCACTATCATATCAGAAAAAAAAAAAAAAAAAAAAAAACATACAATACCTTCCACCTTTCGGAATAATTTCCACTGAAAGTTTACGTAGGCTGGTTGAAATCCGAAGGTTACTTTCGTTCTTTTTTCCGTCCTTTCCAACAGTTTTATGCCACACTCGACAAAAAGAGGGAGCTTTTCTATATTTGTCAATTATAGAAATAATCCTGATAAAGGAATCTTTTCTGGTGTCCCAGAAAGCCGAAAACACGTAGTGGGTCGTATTTGGAACTAATTTCCATGTGAAGTTCTCCATCAATTTAACTCCATTCACCATTTCTACCGTGCCATTAGATTGTTGTAGGAGAACGTGCGCAACGGGAAGTTGCGCAGCGGGTGTCCATGAAGGGAACAGCAAATTCAACGGCGGCTGGTAGCTGCATTCAAACAGACCTTCATAAGAAGCCGATTTAGGAACACGGTAAACAGGATAGATCCAAGTGATGTAGTATATCAGGGGTAATAGAAATAACCCTGTCCATACCACGAATAAAATAAAAAGATGGCGTTTGATACGGGAATTTGTAAGAATTCGCATTTTGTTATCAAGTGCATGTAGTCTCCTCTGGTGCATGTAAACGACGTCCAGTATAAAGTAGGCCTAAACTTAAACCAGGGAAAGGCTGCAGTGAATTGGTCACAACCTTGAAATAAGATTCAAATTCGTCACATGTAGTTGGAGTAATAGTCAAAATGAATGCTTGTTAGCGGCTACTGAATCAAGACGGCTTCTTTTTGTCATTTCCAAATTGGTTTCCTCCGTCTATGCCAAGAGGTTCCACACTGGATGCTGGTTCTGTAAAAGTATTTAAAATATTAATGATAAATGACATGTAGGGATTATAGACTATATAATATAGTGTAATTTTTTACCGTAGGCTACTGGTATGGCGGGTCTAAGATTCTTAGGTACGTACATATACCACCTTCTCCCCACCCATCCCCAAAATTAGGGTAAAGCAATCGAAACGAGGCAAAGCTAAAATATATTTCTATCCATGTACCGTGCGTAAAGGGCCTAATCATAAAGTACTGGTAATCCATCCTGTTTTACCTTCTATCTACTGTAATTTTAGAATCATAAAAATTTCATTTCTGTTTGTCTGTGGTGCTTTTAATGCATAGTTTAAAAGTATCAGGTAACCTGCTTCTCAATTTTGTTGCTATAAGTCAATATAACGTTTTATTTAAAGAAATTATGAATTAGGCACTATCCGTAAAATTAATAATTTTCCCCGTTGAAAAGATCGAGCAATTGCCGTATATGTATCAAGCGTAGCCTCCTACGATATATAAACAGCTGATCAGTAAATAGGTACAAAGTATTAGCAACACATATATGGTACGAGTTCGTGACTGTTGCTGCTTATTTATTTTTGCAGTTTGGTGAAAAAAAGTCGAGGATCGTGTTATTCTGTCCCTCTGCTCGTCTGTGCGTTAGTTTTTTCTTTTTTTAAACCAATAGATGGAGGAATGTGAATCTTGGGGAATTGATAGACCTTTCTATCAAGGATGTGCATCAGGGAGTCGCTGCTTGTTTATTCTTCCACTTTGGTAAGAAAGTTAGGGATTGTGTTATCCTGTCCCTCTGCTCGTTTGTGTGTGTGTGTTTTTTTTCTTTTTTTAAAAACCAATAGATTGAAAAACTTGAATCTTGGGAAATTGATAGGCCTTTCTATCAGGGATGTGCATCAGGGAAGTGGTACTCAGGAAGTGCGCCGAGAGGCCGGGCGGCCCCTTGGGAATGAGTGATTCTATTTGTTTTTCATATTGGAATTTCTGCTACCTCTACCTAAGGCTAAAGAGTGAGGGTGATGAAATTTTGTAAATTGATTCACCTAAACCATTAGAATTTTAGCTTGGGATTGAATCCTGTCCCTGGTGGTGGCTTCTTTTTTTATTGTACAATGTATTTTCTGTTACCTCCTCTCAAACTATTTGAGTGAGGAACTTTGGTGAATTATGTATGAGAGAGATGTGCATAGGTACAAAGAAATTAGTGCAGAAGGACTTGAGACTGTCTTTGTCGGTGGATGATTATAGTTTTTTTTCACGTGGTAATATCTGTTATCTCCTTCTAGACAGATGAGGCTTTTGCTATTCTGACAGTCAATTTTTTTCATCGAAATTTTTATATAAACAAGCTTGGGAGCAGATTTTAATGCTGTTATTATGCCTTTCTTTTCAATAACTATTGCTAATGCCCAAACAGTGCCATACGTAACCAGGGATGGGGTAACAGAGGTCCACTTAGCTACTCTTGACAAATTGGGGAAGTAAGGGGATGTGCTAAGGCTACCCATCTGCAACATCTAGTTCGTAGCTACTAATCGGGTGATTATTCAACATTGAACAGTTTTTGATGGCATTTTTTATAAAGACCAGTTCGTTTTACTTATATCAAGGCGTACATGCACCTCAGTCCCAGGGGCATAAATTAAATAAAGGAGTTGCCAAAATGCCCTGGTCGCTTATTAAAGACGGTCATTGCCACCATGTGAAGTATATTAAAAAAGACACCATCAGGCATGCTGTACGTGTAGGATCCTCTGACAACCCCCGCCGACAGTCAAAGATGGGCCAAAGGGATAACATATGATGTAGGATACTGTACACTGAAACGTTAAGAGATCGATTGGCGTTCCATTTGTTGCATCATTCTTAAAGAAACACTACATGGCAAAGAAACATCATCATACTTACAGTGAAATCTTTCTGTCTTCGTTGCTGTTCAGTGTATTACAGACTGGAATGATCTTTTCTACCCATACTCCAATAATACAGCTGCTTGGGGATGCTGGTTATAAAATATTGAATTGGTTGGTCTGGTCTATTCTTAAAGGTACGGATTGAATTGAATTGATTCATAAACAAAACTCTGTTTTTCAGGTCTGTGCATCCATTTTAAGAATATGAACTGTGTTTAGAAATACGACCATTTTAATGCCGTGATCGCGTTCCAGAGATGGAATTGCCTGCTCCTTGAGATTTTACGCGCAATACGACTTGTGGGTACCTTGTCAGGGTCAGCGTGTCAAGCGCCTTATTCAGAATAGTTCGAAGGTCAAATATGGTGACCTACTACAAAGCTTGCCGTCTAATCCGCTAATAGACACTGAATAGATATCCCGTGGGGAAGTATTCAAGTGGGTCAGCCATATTTGACCCTCGGACTAGTTAGTCTACTGTTCCGAATGGCCCCATTGCAGCAGTTTCAAGGTTACACAACCTCGCCATGCAAAGCTAGGCAGTCAGAAAAAAACTTGCATTCGTTGGGGTTAGAGTTCAACATTACCGTTTCCTGCGTAGATAATCTAACCATGACGGTTAAATATGGTGTTAATCAATCATTTAAGATTTCAGATAAGAGCTCTCTAAGTCAAAATTAAAAACGTTATTGTTGACTTATAGCAACAAAACTGAGAAGCAGGCTACCTTATACTTTTAAACTATGCATTGAAAGCACCTCAGGCAAACAGAGATGATTTTTTTATTCTCTAATTACATTCTATAATAAATGAGAAACTAACCACAGAGCCATTTACCGTCAGAAAAGACTCAAGTTGTATGCCTCACATACTGAACTGCCTTGTCAATGTTTTCTAATATCTTTTCGCCGAATCTAAAAATTGAGGCATCCGTTATTATTCCACTCCCCATGAAGTGTTGTCTGTAGTGATGCAACGACCCCAAGTCTCCCCCTGCGTTAAAAGTGCTTTCCGTGGCGCGTTCGATCCAGTGGACATCCATCAGCCATACTTTCTCTGGCTTAACGATAGTTTTGTAACAACACCTTTTACTGAACGAATGGATCTTACGTGAACGTCGGGAAGTTAAGAGACAAGCTGGGCGATAACGTAACAGCCTCGCATCCAATTTTCCCTTCACGGCTGGATATGTGTCAAAAGTCGCTGGACTAATTATGAACTCTTTCTTGGCGAATGCGTACCCCGCACGGTCCTGCGGTAAACTTTCTAACATGGCATATAAGTCGTTTTGTTTCCTTGGCACGATGAACTCGTCTGTATCGACGAAAACGACGTATTTGAACTCATACATAGTACGGTAGAGGCAGTCCTGGATTGAGGATAGTTCGGCGTAGTAGTGCACTCCTTCTGTGGCTTCATTGCCGACAGAATTTACACGCAAGTTTGGTGGTAAGTTCCATGGAATTAATGTCATTATCCCTAAAAAGAAAAGTAGAGTACAGTTAAGCCTCAGTCACAACCGGACGCTTGAATTTTAGGCCCGTACCTGTACATGTACAACCCCTACGAATTTTGGATGTAGCGGAGACCGTGGAGTTCGTAGAGGTAGATGAAAGCTTGCACTGGAAAGGCACAAGTCTGCCTTGGGAGTCGCAGGGGGCACGTGAGATTCTCTTTCAAGCAGGGACGCTAGGTAATTATCTCCGCCAAGGAGGTTATGTTTTCACCCCTGTTTGTCTGTTTGTTTGTCATCAACATAACTCAAAAAGTTATCGACCGATTTTGATGAAATTTTCAGGAACTGTCAGAAGTGGGCCTAGGAAGAGATGGTTAGTTTTTGGTGGTGATCCGGATCAATAATCAATCAATAATCAATAATAATAAAAAATCGCTGCCTTGGCGGAAGTCTGCGCTCTCGGTGTGCGCTCTCGGGGTGCTTTTCTAGGTGCGATGACCGTAGAAATTGGACTCATTTCTTGAATTTGTCTTGCTACCTGAGTAAGTGGCACGCACTCACCAGCCGAACAAATTGTTAAACAGAAATAAGAGAGGAAAAATATAATGACATGTATGGTTAAAAGTGAGGCCATTAGTTGGACCTTATATTATAATGTGTTTCTTATATTAAGTTTAATTCTATTTTATGTGCCGCGTTAAGACACAGTTTTTTTTACCGTAAGCAATGATTTAATGTTTAACAGCAGAGGGGCGACAATCGTATTCCGTCGTCTATGTGAATAATTGTCCGCTTTGTGACATGGGGGAGTAGGCCAGATCCCAATTACCATCATTAGATGTTTATAAAACCCATTTTCATTTGCTGACCTGTAAGTTTAATATGATATACCTTGATCTCTAATATCCACAATTTAATTACACATGCCATTCAAACGAACTGTAATTCAAAGCTAGGTGATTTATAATAATGAAGCTTTAGGAGTCTTTTTTTCTAATTTAAATAGGGAAGGTTAAAATGAAATGGCATTCAAATCAGATTTCTGAAGAAAAAGAAAGAAAGAAAGAACGAAATACAAAATAAAATGAAAAGAAAATAAACTGATAATTAATCAAAGGATGGCCAAAATTATCCCCTTACCTTGTTGAACATACGCCCGGATAACCGGATTCATCACAGGATCACCAGTGTAATTATACAAGGTGAAATGCTCCGCTCCAAGTGTCCGGTAAACCTCAACAAACTCTATCAACCGCATGAAGTTACTATATTCAAAAAGGGGAGTCTCTACACAAACTCCGATCTTCCGTCTCAGCTTGTTCGCATCCCACTTGCTTGGCCGACTCTTGTCGATCACCTTGAGAATGGGGACGCTGTTTGTGTGAGCAGAGTTTCGGTCTTCCACCAAGGAAACGGCCAGCGGCTTTGGTAATCCTTTCACATCACAATGGTAAAGAGATGCAGAATATCTAAAGTAAATAAATGAACAAATACATAGAACAGAGTTAACATAGGCCCCTCTTCACAGTGGTTATCTAAAATAATAATAATAAAAAATAAACGAACAAATTAATCGATAAATAATTTGGTAAATTTGCATAGTTTAATTAAGAAAGCTAGAAGATGAGGTAAAGCGAATATTTGGTTGTCCACAATCCCCCGTACACACATACACATAACCAGCTAGAATTAAACATTTACCCCCCCTCTTCCTTTTCTGTCCTACCCCAATAAAGATGAATAAACAAAACTTTACCATTCCCCCAAATCAAGAAGAAGAAGAAGTCCTGCAGCTGCTTATTTCAACGTGGATTATCATATTTGAGAAAATTGTGAACCCTTCTACAGTAGGACCTTCTGGCACAGAACCAAGATCAAATTTCGATCCAAAGAGGACCTTTCCCGTTCAAAAGCATACTCCCAGATCATCCGTTCATAAATACGTGTCATATCAATGCAACTTACTTTCCCCTCTTTGGATTTCGCTCAAGCTTTGCCGGCCGCACTATACTATCATTACTAGACAGGTCACCACCGAGTCCAGTTTTACCCGCTTCTCGGAACCAAACTCTGCAGAATCCCGGCGGTTTAGTCTCTCTGTCTACAAGTGATACAATTCGAACGTGTCCTCCCTCGCGGTCATCGTAAAATGCTGAGAAAAAGTACTGTTTTCCGCCTGGTTGTTCTTTCCACGTCAAGTCCTCCTTGTCAGGAAGGCCAGAGGACAGCATTTTAGGAACAACCGGAAGCTGGACAGTCATGTTAACCGGAAACACATAGTGTCGTCTGCCGTGGGGTAAAATCAAAGAAAGCGGGGGTGTATATTGTAGTGTTAGTTGTTCCCCTAACGAAACTTTGGTAAAAAAAGGAAAGGAGGGTTTGATGATTACATTTTTCCATCCTTTGAATAATAAGTGGAACAATAGTACCATGGCAGTCAAAAGCAGAAAGACGTAAAAAATGGACTTATTTTGCGTCGATAACATCCTTCGAAGTGTTGGGACACTCTGGACGGTCTTCTTTAACTTGAAAGTTGAACTGAAAATATAAGACTTAATATATACATGTATATACACATACCAGGGGCGGATTTAGTGGGTGTCAAGGGGGTCCTAACCCCTCCACCTTTTCCATTTCTGAAAGAAAAATATAACCAATGATCCCCTCTTCAAATTAGAAGTTTGACTAGCTGATGCATAGTTCTTAACCGTACCAAAGGGCACAGTTTGCCCTCTAAATATCACATTTTTTCGGGGCCCTTACGCCAAGGGGTAGGGGAGAAGTCGGGGGGTCGAACCCCCCCTTCCAATAATCCTGGATCTACCCCTGCATATCCCTACATTTCTCCACTGTAAATGGAATGCGTCGGAGAAAAGTGCACATACATTGTAAGTAATCTGCAGCCCTGGCAGAGGATGTAGGATCCTACAGAAGCTATATTTGAAACACTCCCTCTAAACGGTGTAAGATTCGATTTTAGGTTCACAGATCGAGAAGAAGTGAGCAACAAGAGTCGTGAATTTCCAAACAACTTTATTCCCACTGCCTAAGTTCCCCTTTCTACCCACCACCTGTTCTCTTTATATCTACCTTATTGTCTCATTTAAATACGACCTTATAATAAATCTTTCTAGTCTAGGCACGGGCGCCGCGACATCCTAGGGGCGTGGGGCATGCTAAGGGGCGCCGCGACATCCTAGGGGCGTGGCAACACCATCAATACCACACCAATTTTTAAGCCTCATAAACGTGTACAGTAACACATGTTTAATGGCATCAAAGGCTGCTGGTATGTGAAGTAGCAACAGAGTAAATTTATGACAAAGTATCTATGGTGTAAAAGAATTGATCACATCGTTTTGTAAAGTGACCGTATCCAATAGTGCTAAGAAAGCGTGGGCAGTGAGTCCAAATGAAATAATTGAGCATCTTAAAGATACATACAAAGTCAATTTTTTGTCACAAAAACCAATCAAATGCCAGCATATAGTTTCAAGTAGTATAACTGAGAGAATTACCAAAAGGCATTGTTTAATTTTACCCGAAAATGATGTTTGAACAGATTTTTCTGCTGGCATTCTAAGCTGTATGTCAATGGGGCAGGAAGTCACGGAAGTAGGTTAAATTTTCAACCATAAATTTAAAGAAAGGAGCAGTCTAAAGGTCTTTTATGGCTAATCGAGTGATCTATTCAGTTTATCCCTTGGCATGTCAAATTTATTTGAGTCATATAAGAATCTAGTAGAAGTGGTTTACATGTGTTACTGGGAATCCACACTCCACCGATGCTTGGTTCGTATGTACCTTTAAAGTAACTTGAGACTTGATGGGGGGCCAACTTACCCCGGGGTCCAACTAGCCCCGGTCTCCCCAATTTATTGCCAAAAGAATATCGTTCTGTGCCTTCAAAAAGGGACGATAATTTCGTGCTGTTGGTGTACTCTACACACTATTGAACCTGGTTAAACGGAAGTCCGCAGACATGAATTGAGTGCTGATTCAACACTTATTAAACCATTTTTAGCTGGGGCAAAAGTGACGATGACCACCAATATGACACGATGAGGTGCTACAGGTACTTAGTGCATGTCATCCACAACAATGAGAAAACTGGCAGTTGACTTAAATAAAGGCGGTTGTTTTATCATAGACATATAAAATGACATCCACTTGAAGCCCGTTTTAAAAAAAGGTAGTGGCCAAAGCTTAGGCTGCTAAAATTAGATATCCGACTATGCAGCCAAGTTTGTATTGGTCCTGGTTAAACCCCATTGCTCTGAGACTAATCAATCATAAAAAACTTTAACACTGAACGACTATTGCTTTGACCTAAAGGGAATTAAAAAACCTACCTGGGTTAATAATCCGTGCCACCGGTATCATCTAGTGAGAAGTCAAACGCTAAATGTGTCATAAATAATCTATTACACACATCATCATGCTGTGCATTATTTATCAATGTTTTTATATGAATTTGGAAGATGGCGTCGTTATGGTATGATTTTGTTTTAATTGTCAATTAAATTTCTTCGATCAACAGCTAATACAGATGTTGTTTACCCGTAGTATTTCCTTGTCTGTCTTGAACATCTTAGACTGCATGCGTTCCCATAACCTTATAGCACTAGCAGGATAATTCTATCTCAGCGGGGATTTTCACCGAGGCGCATTCAATGTAGTTGGCGGAATTATCTGGCACGACCCTCCATCTCGCAAAGCAAAATGAACAACATCATGGACTACAAAGTCCCCCCCCTCCGACTTTACCCAAGTGCTTTAAGTTCCAAGGGGGAGTACCAGACATTTAAACCGCTTAAACTGACTGCAATTAAGCGAGAATCCCCGAGGAGTTAGATCGATCCAGCTACTACGATAAGGTTATGGGAACGGTAAGTTAATCAGGGAATAAGGGGCATAGAACAAAAGGAATGCAATAATCTAGTTGGTGAATAAATAACTATCAAACATGCATAAACATCAACGTTTTCTTCACATAAACCAGTAAATGCATACAACAGTGGACAGGCAGGTGACGGTGGAACCCAGGGTTATCAGATTTTAACCCCCCCCTCTTTACCTCCCCTTCTACCTCCTAGCAAAATCATTACGCTGAACTTTCTAGAATTCGAACCCGCGTACAAGTGTCTAGCTGTGCCCAAGGAAGCGGGGTTACCACGGAGCCGCAGAAACTTTTTTGACAGGCTTCAGATGAAACGGAAACTACCTTACGTGCCGCCGTGCAAATGTATTCCTTCTCCCGCAGCGCCAGTCAAAGAACGTGCATGGTCTTATCATCAACATTGAAGTTCATGATGCAACCGAGGCCCTGTTTTAGAAGCCGACACGGAGCGTTCCTAGATATATTATCATGACTGTTTTATGTTGAGATTTAGTTTGGCTTCACCTATGGCGTTAAAGAGCACAATGTAATCGAAGAGAGTCCACGACGGGACGGTTTTGGTTTATGCATGCAAGCCCCTAAGAAGAGGGAATCATTAAAAAACGTTCCAATTTGTAAAAGCTGGTGCGAACAAGCCAGTTTTGAGGATAACATATTTGGCAAATAACCCAACAGAGAAGATTTTTTTAACTTATCTGTTTAAACAATGCAAATTTTAACGTGTCATATCACAGTGTATGAGATGATGGTTTCACATCAAAATACAAAGGGGTGGATTTGCCCACTGGAGCTGTTGAAGTAACGGAAATATAAAATCAATTCAACGCCTATTTTAAGAATAAAGATCACAGCAGTAGGTATTACAAATCGTTGTTGATAAGTTTCATGTGGAGATTAGATTAGATTTGATATTATTTGTAAAGACGCGAAAAAAGCCTATGTTTCAAAGCTCATCGTTATTTTAAAAAGCACATAATTATAAACCAAGAAAACAATACAATGACAAGTTAATAATTAGATATACCGGTATCAAGCCAATGTATATGTTATCAACAAGGAGGCAAACAACCTACCCTCTGATAACAAAGAGACCGCTTAAATAGTACACAAGTATAGAGTGTCCGATTCAATAACTTTTTAAATGACAACGAGCAGACCCCGTGGTCAGACAGTACAAACGATCCAAGTAACACAGGTATTTACATCAACTTATCCTTACACAGGTACACATATATGACCTACTTAATACCGCGCATTTGATTGTATGCGCTGTTAAAATAACAACATCAGTGAGGTCATTCTGGACCAAATTACAACGTACTGGCAGTCAACCAGGAAGTGATTTTTGAGAGTGTACTGATAGCAGTTGGAGCATTCGCTTAAAGCAGTATAAGGGTCTTTGGTATAGTCTTTCAGTCCCTCGGGTAAGTGCTAATAAAAATGATACTTATATTAAGTTCATTGTATTATTTTTCTCACTGCACAGTGCAGTTATAACTTGCCTTTGAAGTAATTAATTATTTAAAATGACGCCGAATACCCCCCCATTTCTCAATATGATAAGCAATACTGGTACATTGTTTAACTTAATTCTAATGTTTGGGGGTATGGTAAACTGCTTTGATACCCGTAAATAGGGACTTTAATAATGACGTTGGTCTCCAGCTCGATAATCATATTTTTTTCTTTATACTTGAACATGTATGGATGGAGGTCGGGTATTGCCACCCCCTGCGTCTGTGTTAAAGCGCATTCAGAACAGATAGTCCGCGGATCAAGTATGGCAGACCCTTTACGAAAGAAGAGCCATTTAATCCGCTGATGAGCTCCCCGTCTCCGCAGGCGCCGTCTATGCATGGGTCTAGCAATTAAACAACGGAGCCGTGATTTAATGGGGCATGCGGCGGCGGGGAGACCATCAGCGGATTAGTCGGCTCTGCTTTCATGTAGGGCCGATAAAACCAAGGCTCATCTGTTGTGAATGTCCTCTTTTATAAAGTTATTTTGTATACGAGTCTGTTCCTGTTTGAAAAAAAAAAAAAAAAAAAGAACGGCTTTCAATTTCAGGACCTATTATAAAGAATGTACCAGGCGATAATAAATTTCGAGACATTTCTATTCCTCTGCGCTGTATTCCATCTCTACGATATAGCCTTCACCTCCACAATTGTCAGTTCTTTTCCATGTGGACAGAAAACAGTAGAATTCAACAACATGGCGATTGATAACGCCACTGGGGCTGTATATGTTGGAGCTGTTAATGTGCTTTACCGACTGGATGGTGACTTCCACCTGTTACAGAACGCAACGACTGGACCAGTCACGGATAGTCCATACTGTAGTCCACCTAGGTCTTCTTTT